AGAGATTACTGTATGGTCCGACAACTGCCCATCCCAGAACAGAAATATGATAATGGTTATGCTTTACTTTTGGATACTTCACAAGTATCCACAGATAAAAATTATAAATCACAAGTTTTTGTTACGTGGTCATACCCATTTAGAAGTGGACAGTGATCATTCTCTTATTGAGAGAGAACGAAAGAAAACACCCTTTTTAAAAATCATGACTCCCTGGGACTGGCAGCAGCTAGCACGACTTTGCTGTCGTTCTAAAACATTCAATGTAATTAATATGGAACTAAATGACTTTAAGGATTTTAAGACTCTTTACAACAACAACTGTTCACCTTTTGTTATAAGGAAAAAAACTCAGCAAAATACAGACTTTCGCATGTCAGATGTTGTCCACTTGCAAGTACGCAGCGATAATTTAGGATTACTTTTTTTTAAAACTAATTTTAATTCGGAAACATTCCAATCTGTTGATCTTAACAGAAATACTAGGCGTGTTGTATTTCCTGCAGTCCTGCCTGTGATTCGCGATAAGCCAAAGGAAATATCTACAAAAAAATACACACATCTGCAAAGTTTGCTCACCTGGGTTCCAAGTGAATTTCATAATTTTTATAAAAATTTATCCCACTCCGATAAAGTAGATGAAGATTTATAAAATTTTTACAAAACAATGTTAAGTGAACAATCCATTGAGTTTCGTTTTTCGTTAATTTTGTTTAATCATTTTGTTGACTTGTTTATTTCATTTAATTAAATAAAAAAAAGTGTTCTTGACTAAATTTTGTTTCATTTATCGTATTATCTCCAGATTATTTATTCACCTGTGTTAACTTACCATTATATTATCTCCCGAATATGGTAATTGTTTCCACGCTAAACAGTATTAACTCCATGTTTTTCAAAAAATTAAAGATCTATAAAAATAACAAATACAGTAATATATAGTATCATTTATACCTCTCAAAGGGTGTTTGTCACATACTTGAAGAAAAAGAAATAAAAATTCTATTTAAAATTTACTCTTTATATTTCTTTTAATTTGCTCTCCTGTAAAATTTCAATTTTGTGAGTTAATACAGTTTAGCTCTGAGGTACAGATATATATGTATATATATATATATATATATATATATATATATATATATATATATATATATATAATATATATATATATCGATGGCTAAAGTGTAAAACCTATTAAGTCGAATTTTATAAATTTTACAGGAGAGACAAAAAACTGATTACTTTTTTTAATAAGGCGTTCCCGTTTTGGTGTTAGCGATATAAAAAATTATAATTACACCTCTTTTTAATGGTATGCAAGTACATTAAATTGGATTTGATTTTTCAAAAAAAAATCGACTTACGAGGTTTTGTTGTATTTTTTTAAATCATTTTTCAACTTGCGATATTTTGACATGAAGAGTATTATCTGGTTAAGGATTTTAATACAATATTTTGTTTAATTAGATGATTAAAAAATATTAATGAAACAATACGAACAAAACTAAAAACTTTATTCGACAGAAATACAAAAAAAATAAAAAAAGTTTGAGTTAGTGAGATAAGTTGTCGTAGAATAGCCTAAAATCTTCTGGAATATAGTTTTTTAATTCTTGAAGATGTTTAAATTTATCAGGCTTAATTTTTAGAGGAGCGTTATGCAATTGGGGTATATCCAAATTATCTTGAATTGCTCTTGTACGCCTTGGTAATGGTGTCCAATGGTCCTGGTATAATAATTTATACTCAATCGCACCATCACAACGGTATGCCAGTGCTCTAAGATCAGTTACTTTAGGATCTCCCTTAGTATTGCCAGGACGAATTGAAGAAAATGTTTTGATTACCGAGTAATCTTTAAAAAAGGAATAATTTAAGTAGTCAACTTCATAAGAATCTTTTGCCTTAGCAGACTACAAATGTCAACATAGCATCCGGTACATACACGCACGATTTCTAAGTTTACGCTCAATACACGCGTGAATCGAGTCACACTCCATTTGAGTATGACCCTTTTCTAGATAATATTGAAATATTTCTACACCTGATGTTCTTGATAAGTAAGAAAGAGCATTCGAAAGCGTAACATTTCGAGTTTGGTAGCAGCATCCGTCGCTGAAGCAAACAACGGATTTAGTAGCAGGAGATAAATTTCTTTTGATATAATCTATGATAATGGAAGTGAACTCGTTTGCTTCAACCCACCTGAACCCTCATGCCATACATAGCAATGGCCTTTGCCAGTGGATAAATTATAGAAGCTATAGTTGTGAACATTTAGCTTCATTTTATAATATGCAGCTGATACTTGTAATCTTGGTGCTGTTAATATTGCCTGTGCATCCATAGTCAAAACAAGTTTACTGTTGTCCTTACTAGCCTCTTCTTTTAGTTTTTCTTTTCAGCACGAGCTAAATTTTTTTCTCCAAATGCTGCTGAAACTGTTCATCATTTATTTTGCCGACAGAATACCCAGTGCAAGTGTCGCACTGATCTTTCCTAAAAAATAAAAATTCTTGTAACAAAAAAAAAACGTTTTCTATTGTTCTGTATGCTTAACTTACTTTGGCTTAAATAAGGCTATACGTTGCTTATCGAGCTCCTGACGAAAAGTTGTATTATTCAGTTTGGCTATCTTTGCAGCCACACATCATTGGTATAAAATTTGTATAGTTCATTAACGCTGGTCCACTGTGTATCTAAATACAATTTATTAGTGTCTTTCCTACAGTAGTGGCTCTCCATTTTTGGAATTTTCTCTAAAAACTGGATTAGGAAGGCTTTATCTTCGGATATCTTGCCTTTTCTTGAACTCTTTGTAGTTTGAACTGCAATGTTTTGTTCTCCTTGACTAATCCAATTTTGCACACTCCATTCGCTATACCTAATGTTTGCAGAAACATTTTCTTGCATACCCGTTTTCGAGAATTGGATTTTCTTAAGGAAAAAAATATACGAAGTACTTCGTTGCTTTTCTGGAGTAACTGAAATGCAATGAAGGTTTGTAAAATGTGATTTACGGAAACAAATTTTTATAAATACCTGTTCGATGATACTTCACCGGTTCTTTATCTACAAGGCTGGTAACATAAATTTTCTTCTGATTCCAGTCCAAATTTTTCCAAAACATTGAAAATATTTTTTCTGTCGTCGTCTTCAAAAATATTGCAAAAAATTTTAGAGATCTTTGCGAATTCTTACATTGACATGGAGGTCCCATCTTTCGCTCGTCTCGTTCAATTTTTTTATACTTGTTGTCATCTTTATCTAGTTGACAGGATTGGTATGATTCTCCCTTCATTCTTTTGAGTTTATTTTTATTTCGTTCCCAGTTTAAATAATTGACGTCAGATTTCCTTGATCTTTTTCTCATTATGGGCGATGTTACTGTTTCTGTCTCATTTAGTAATTCATTTAGCGACTGGTTATGTGTTTCTTCATCTGATTCATTGGACTCGGTTGATGCCATATATTCCGATCCACTATCTTGGAAAGGTTCGCTATCGGAATTTTCATCTTGAAAATTTGGCATATCAGTGGTTATGTTTACGTTATTTGATACCGCTGATGGTGGTTCCTCGACCACGCTATTAACTTCTTGAGGTTCATCTGAGCTGCTACTCTGTATTGTACTGTAAAAAACATCAAATTCATAACCAATAAATTATTAAAATATGAAATTAAACTAAATTAAGAATACCTATCTTAAAATTTAACAATTATTTTAAGAACTCAATCATCAGAAGATTGATAGTACATAGTTGAATTCATTAATAATTAATTTACCTATTGATAAGAACCTGAGTTCTTGAAACATTTGTCAAGATTTTAAGATAAGTATACCTAATTTAGTGGAATTTTACATTTCAATAGTCATAACAATCACTATAAAATTCATAACCAATATTTTCATAACTTTATAATTCAATGGCATAACGTTAACTCTTATAATTCACGTTTGCATAAAAGTATTTTATAAACAATCATTATTTGCTTTATTGTAATTTACACCATGCCCTACTTTTTCAGTGAGAAAGAAAGCAGACTTAACCTCAAACGATAAATATAATAAAAATATAAGAAAAAGGCAAAAATCACTTACCCATCTGTATCAGCTTGCAACACTAAATTCAAAATTGTTTTTCACGACTACAAGACATATTTTTCAAAACAAAACAACAAAACTGCGTTTATTCACAAGAGTGAAACACAAAACCTAAAAAAACACTTGCCGCATTCCGGTAAAACCTCACAACATTGTATTACTACATAAAATATCCGAGCAAATGTAAATATAAAAAACTCGTAAGTCCTACTTAATAGGTTTCTGCTTTACACTTTTTGCTAAAGAGTTTTTACTAGTTTTTGATAGATGTCACTAGAGGTCTTAATGTTGAAATAGACTTATGAGGATTTGTAGTTTAATAGATAGCAATATATAAAAATTATTGGTAAATTAATCCCAAAACTGGAAAATTTTGACTTACGAGGTTTTGCACTTTAGCCATCGATATGTATATATATATATATATATATATATGTATATATATATATATGTATATGTATATATATATATATATATATATATATATATATATATATATAATATATATATATATATATATATATATATATGAAAATCACTAGGTTCTCGGGAAGAACCGCGTTGAGAATTTAATGCTCGACGTTTCGGCTCCCGTTTGGAGCCATTATCAAGAGGGATACGGTTCGGTTCGAGTTCGGGGTCTCAATCTGCCTACTCCCCTCACTCGACACGTACCAGTATCGTGTTCTGTATTATAAATACAAGAACTATCTCTCGGCACTGAGGTCTCAATCTGCCTACTCGAGTGTCGAGTGTCGAGTGACAACCGGTCTTACCCTGTGACGCTGCTTTTATACTCGCTGTACGCGCGGGAACGCGTATATATATATATATATATATATATATATTATATATATATATATATATACATGTATATATATATACACAAACTTACCTGTGGCCTTCAATAATGCTTTGATAAGACGTTCAGCCATGGCCATATCCCAGCGGACATTTTTTATACCCTCCAGCAATGTTCTGGCTCTATCCTCGACCGATTTTGGAACACGATTTAGTAAAATCCCTAAATCATGATAAGGTTTCCATGACTTGGTTTTCCTCATAAAGTCCAATATTTGCTTATCTTCTTTTGCAGAATATCTACAAAATATTAATATATTTACCATATGGGAAGTTTAATTTTACCAATTATGCAATAACGGATTAAGCGCCAAAAATTAAAAGTAGGATGGTACAAAATCAACGCTGTTTTAAAACCATATTTTTTATTTTATTAAGAAAAATAAGGATTGTAGAAGCCAAGAGCAAAGTTGTGGTATAAGTGGGAGAGAAAGTGCTACGAAAAACATCTGGTAAAGGACCTAGCCTGGTAGGGTACTAGCGACAAAGAAATTTAGTGGTGAAACGATGAAGTTAACATGTTAGTGAGAAGAAAGAGGCTAGAAAGAGGTCTAAAAGAGCGGAACACAAGGATATATACAAGATAGCATAGAGGAAATAAAAGCGCGCAGTAGGTACTGCTAAGGAAAGATCGTCTGTAAAGCTGTATGAAGAAACCTTTGATGGGATGAAAAGGTTATATAGCATCGCTAAAGTAAAAAGAAAGTCATCAAAGAAATTAACTCAGGATCGGCAGACTAACCTTCCACCACTCTTACCTCAAAAAATTATCACCCGCGTGTTAAATTTTATTTAACATATGGGTATAAGTCTAATAAATGAGTCATTAGTAGTACTTGTTGGTTATTGGCTATTAATTCACAAAAACCGATAAACATACATTTACAAGTTAGTACAATAATGTTGGGTAAGCCTATTCTTCCTTACAGGGCAAAAAGAACATATTGGTTTTATAATTGCAGTAATTGATGGCTTTTCTCCGGTTGAAGATGGGATTTTAAAAGTTGCTTGCCAAGCTCTGCAATGTAACTTCTTCGAGATATTACAATATTAGTGTAAATTATTTGGCTGTTTATAGTTGAAATATTTAGTAGGCTGCAAAAACAGTAAACGGTCAGCGATTGCTAAACTATTCATCGAGTATTCTGTCTTCATTTTATCAACAACATCCACTATGTTGTAATCAATAATAATCTCTGGCTTCATGGTATGTTATTTGGTGTTTTCATCATTAAGACCATCGTTGTGTAACGTTGAAAACAGTAATAAATTCTTAATTTTTTTGACACATATGATACAAGTAAACACTTGTTTCCGTCGTCACCATATGCAAACAAAATACTACATAAAGGTCTTCCTTTTAAATTTATCAACTGCATCGTTGGTAGTTGATGTGGTCCTTCAGGCTGCTTGCAGGCGTAAATTTCGAGGTGTTGTGTTAATAATGTTCTAGCGTCCACCAAAGCATCAATTTTGATTTATGCCTTGAGGAGGATTGCCTGAGGAGAGACAGGATGCGGAACCTCAAATGAGAATGTACTACCGGGAATAACGAAAGATGAGGTTGTCGAAGCTGTAAATAGGATGAAGAATGGTAAAGCAGTATGGTCTGATGGAATACCTGTGGAGGTTTGGAAGGCTCTAGGAGATGAAGAGGTTGATGTGTTGTAGCAAATGATAAGTAGGATATATGATTAAGAAAGGATGCCCAATGCATGAAGGAAGGGCGTGAGAACTATAGAGGGATAAAGTTTGGAGGGACTGTAGAACAAAGATTAATGAGGGAGACATCGAAATGAAGAAAACAGTTTAAGTTTTTGGATAACAGTTCCTAGATAATAGCTTTGTAGATGTATGAGAGAGAAATGGCTTCCTGAAAAATACGTAATTCTCGTAAAGGATATGTATGAGGGAGCGTACACCAAAGTAAGGCTTGTGTACTGACAGAGAAGGTAAGGAAGGTGGCTCCTTGGTCAATGCTTTTTGTGGATGATATTGTGTAAGTGGATGGAGCAAAAACATGTTGGGAGTGTTGGAGAAGGGCTATTGAGGAGAGAGGACTTAAGGTTGACGGGTCGAAAAAGGATTATATGTACTTATGGACAATATAAGTAGTGATACCTCTAACTCTTAAAAATTGTTTTGTACGGCACTGGAAGACCAAAAATAACGCTTATCGCTAATCACCATTTCTTGGAATTTAGTACATACAATTTTGAAACTATACTATAAGTAAAATCATTTCGCTTCATATTACTTCCATTAGTTGTTGTCGAACTATTCAGAAATTTATTTAAAGCAGTAATATTATTGGTAGTCAGTCTAGCTTTTATGAATAGATAATCAAAAATTTTAAACTAAATAAACTTGTTGGTAGTAATGAGAGAAACAGCTGCTATTTACCTTCCTGTCTTGACTTTTTCTCGGAATAAGGTTCTGAATCTTTGGAAAATTCTTATAGGAATTCTATCATCCAATCCAGTACTCAAATATTGTAAAAATTTAATTTGTTCTATTTTTGACATTGTCCTTGGAAGTTTGAACATAGCTGAGGGTCTTACAGTTAAATTATGGCTCTGAAACAACAAAAAATATATTTAGTTTAATTCCATTTTCTAAGCTGTAAATGAAATTTTATAATTTCTATAAATGTAAAAAAAACATTGATATACTTAGATTAAATAAAAAAAAAATGAAGTTTTCTGAGAATGTGAGAGAGAAAAAATTCAGTTTTATTCTTAAGCTTCGGTTAAGACTTTCCATGTTTTTCTATCTATTTTACCATTTTACTAGTGTCTGTTTTTGCTACTATCTACATAAAATAAGCTATATCTTTCGCTTCTCTACCAAACCACGCTTAAGAGAGTAGCTAGAAGCTAATAAATTAGATATCCGTGGGGAGTTATCTGTCTTCCATCGTACACGTCCAAGGTGGTGGATAGAGGAACGACCGGTGGATAGTTGGGAAATAAAAATTCCAACTGTGAACCAAACAGACTAAGATATGGCAACGCTAACAGAAGAGTCTCTGGCCCTCCAGGTTGGGGGTTGGACTAAAGGCTGACAACCTCTTCCTGTAAAAAAACATGTTATGGAACCTCAGGAATTATTAGCTGGACAGAACTCACGACAACGACTCTGCAAACGAAAAATGGAACTGAGATAAGGAACATGGAATATCCATGTTCCATACATGGAACCCTGTACCGAACTGGAGCATTCACATCTTTACTAGATATAGTGAACACATACGAAGTAGATGTTTTAGTACTGCCGAAAATACGCTGGACGGAACTGGCACTCTTGACAAGAGAACCCATACCATCTATTACAGCTGCAATGAAAGCCAACACATAGATGGGGTGGGATTTATTGTATACCGAAGAACAAAAGGCCAAAAAAGATTGCTTTGCCTGACATGAATGAAAGAATAGGACGAGAGCGAGTTTTCATGCGCACGATAGGAAAGCATAGCCTACACAACATAAGCGATAGAGATAATGGATTACGATTGATAAACTTGGCAGCAGCACTCAATATGACAGTCGCTAGCACCTATTTTAAACACAAGAACATACACAAGATAACTTGGACCTCTCCTGATGGAAGAACCACGAGTCAGATTGATCACATCTTAATTGGTTCAAGGCATGGAACAGACGTAATAAACTGCAGAAGTTATAGAGGCGCAAACATAGACTCAGATCATTGCCTAGTGGTCTCAACATTGAGGGCTAGAATTTCAAACAATAGTAAAGCAAATAAAATGGATACAAAAAATGGAATGTGCAAAAGCCGAGAGATGCGACAATTGCAGAACGGTATTCGGAAAACACCACCAACAGGCTAAGGAATCAAAATGTAAATAAAGAAGGCCAGACTGATATAGACTTCTACTAGACCAGAATAAAGAAAGACGTTGAAGCAGCAGCGAAAGAGGAAATAGGAACAGAAATTTGTGCCCGTAAAAATCATTGGTTTCACGATGAAAGCATGAATGCAACAAAAGAAATTCGGAGTTAATTTTAATTACCATTAAAATAGTACCTAATTACTATGTACGTTAATGAAATTTTATATCTGCTTATTACTCAATCGTTAATATTTTTTATAATAATACTTTACATTAGAGTTCTTTAAAATTTAAAAAAATCCCAACTTTTTTCTTTAAAAATTTTGTTTTGTGTGTTTAAAAATGATTTTAGTAATTTTCAAAATTTGTTAAACATTTATGATTATATATTTCATTTTGATTATATATTCTAAAAAGAATTATAAATTGTAGTAGAATATGTTAATTAATTTTAAATAAAAAATTTCTAAAATAAACTTTAGTTTATTTTAATTAATTTTATTTAACTTTTTTCAAATTTGTATAATTTTTTATTATTTGTTATAATTTTTTATAATATTTTATTGAAACGAATCATCATCATCATCACTGGCTCGACAACCCTTTTTGGGTCTTTGGCCTGTTCAAGGATTCTTCTCCATTCTGACCTGTTTCATGCTTTTTTTTTCCAGTTTTTAATTTTTAATGTTGTTATATCATTTTCTATTTGTTCTACCTCCAAGTATTTTAAAATATAAAACAGCCTCATCTATCCAGTAGTTCTCGCGTTATAAAAAAATATAATATATAAAATTACAAAACATTATACCGAGCGCTAAGAATTTCGAGGATAGATTGATATTAAACTAGCCTTTGATAGATGGCGCTACTTGATACCGAATTGGTTTCGGTCTTGACATTTGCCATTCATGACATGACGTCTGTCAAAATTTTAGGTTTTAAAAACAATTAGTTTGGTTTTTACAGCCGTCAAAAGCAAGCAAATTTTGTGTTTTCAGCGTCCCGGGAGGCCAAATGAAGTCACCACGCCGGAAATGATCAACAAAGTCCATAACATGATTATGACAGATCGTCGAATTAAGATCCGCGAGTTGCGAATGCGTACATGCGTACATCTTTCACCATCATTTGGACATGAAAAAGCTATCCTCGCGATGGGTGCCGCGTTTGCTGACAATCGATCAAATGCAAAAACGTGTGACCACTTCGGAGAGCTTTTGGCGATGATACGGCAAGATCCGAAGGATTTTTTTTCGCCGATTTATCACCGTTGATAAAACCGGGTGCATTATTACACACCGGAAACCAAAGAACAGTCGAAACAGTGGCGCAAACGCGGCGCAGGGCCGCCGAAGCAGGCAAAGAGTGCGCATTCGACCGGAGAAGTGATGGCGACTGTTTTCTGGGATGCGAAGGGCATCATCCACATCGACTACTTGGAAAAAGGAAAAACAATCAATACGCAGCATTATTGGATCGATTCGATGCCGAATCGCGTCGAAAACGCCCTGGTTTGTAACGAAAAAAAGTGCTCTTTTACCAAGACAATGCACCGGCTCACCGATAGGCCATCGCCATGGCAAAATTATACGAATTGGGCTATGAATTGGTCGAACACCTAGCGTATTCCCCAGATCTTGCCGCCAGCGATTTTTTCCTGTTTCCAAACCTAAAAAATGGCTCGGAGGACGCCGTTTCGCAACAAATGATGAAATTGTCGCTGAAACTTCGGCCTATTTTGAAGATCTAAAGCAAAAGTTCTATTCGGATGGGATAAACAAATTGGAACATCGTCTTACTAAGTATATCGAGCCAAAAAGGGTCTATTGTTTTTTCTATCAAAGGCTAGTTTTATATCAATTCATCCTCGTATTCACTTCAAAAATCTTTTTTTCACTTTTAAAATTGTTAAAAAAAAACATAACAAAATCCGCTGTACGACTTCACAGATTTTTCATCAGCTACCCCTCATCTATCCCTATCCCTTTGAGAATCTTTAAATATCTGTATAAGATTTTTTCAGCTTTTCCTTCCTAGATCTAATAATATTTCAGATTGTAACACGCGTGGCAATTTGAAAAATATTTTTGTTTCTCTTAACTAACAAACATAATAAAAATAATGAATACCTTGCACAAAGTTTCCCAATTCTTTTTTATCAGTTCATCTTCTGCCTGGCTGAATCGTCCTCTTTTGGCTTTATGTTTTTTTGCTACATTTATTTCATTGCCTGTAGGTGCACTAGGTCTTGAAATTTCATGAAGAAGTGGAATATTGTCGCGAGGCAACTGTATCTTTAGTTCTGCGAGTTGAGACAATTCACTGGCATTGATTTCTTCCTTATTACCTACAAATAGTTCAGAACTCAGAATACAAATAGGCGAGCGGTTGGTCCCTATAAAGATCACCATGATCTATAACTCGATATCCTTATACTTAGATAACTGTATACATACAAAAATAGGACGACAAGACAACGCCCTACCTAACTCCTACGGGTCGATCAGTCTTACATAACTTCTGTCTAAAGCAATAGAAAAAATTCTTGATAGACATACTGTAACAGTTTCAAAATATTTTTCAAAGTTTTAAAAATTTATTATTATAATTTCTATAGAGCGTTAGACGTTAAGAAAATAACATTGTGGACCATGTATTTCTTATGGACGATAGAAGCGCGGCGTTGCCACGACAAACACACACACACACACACACACACACACACACACACACACACACACACACACACACAAGCACGATTTAGGGTTGTATAATTTGTATTTTCGTTTCCACAGACCTGAATTAAATTATTGTTTTTTAACGTAATTGACCAAAAGTGCCCATTCGAAACAAGAGATGAAAAGTAGGGAAAATGATTTTTAATTAAATAAATAGTATTTACAAGAGATAATTTTATTTTATTTTATTTTAATTATAGTAACGAAAGTTTATTTGTTTTTCGGTAAGAATACCGTATACCATGAATCATAGAAATTAGTAGAAAATATTGCTTAGTTAAATCATGCACTTTGCCGACTGCTACATAAGAAGTTTAACCGATAAAGTAAGTGTTACGACAGGAGTAAGTTTTAGTACTATTTTTAAAATACGCAAAGAAGCTGCGGAAGGAAGACTAATGCCCATAAAAAAAAACAAGAAAACGTACCAAAAGTATAGTGAACAAGAGAAAGTTCACTTACGATGCAGTAGTTCATACGCGGCTACGTGCCATTATGCATAGTTTTTTCTTTAAAAATTTACCGCCGACATTGAACAAAGTTATTGCACTGGTTAAAAAAGACAAAGATTTAGCAAACATGTCACGCACTACAATGTACAGATGATACAAATGAGTATTTTTCGGTAACTGTTACGTTACGTTCCGGTTCCATATTAGTACCTGTTCCAAATACTAGTTACTTTTTAACCTAGTATTTTTACATTTATACGCCGCGCCATGTCTTTTTTCTAATTTTTTCTAATGTTTTACATAAAGTTATATTTTGTATTTTGTTAACTAGTCGTGTATTATTTTTTCAAAACGATCTCATTGTTTTTTTTTGTTTTAATTTTTGTGTAGGTACACTTATCAAGTTTATTTAGTAAATAGTAAATAATAATTTTTTTTTTGTTTTAATTTTTGTGTTAGGTACACTTATCAAGTTTATTTTAGTAAATAGTAAATAACAATTTATATAGGTACTCTTTTAATTTAGTTTCATAGAAAAATGTTTTACGCTCAAACAGAATCCAATTAAAAAACTTCTAAACTAAAATAAAATAGTAACAGCAAGGGACCAATATTATGACAGATTTAATACGTATAATTTCACATCTTGCATACACCACCGTAATAATCCAGACGTCCGAACCGCCAATCCTCAGAAACTACAAACTAGAACTTTTAACCAACCCAAAAAAATATAACTGGTCCCGGTGCGTTGGTTGCGGTATCCAAAATACCAATACCAAAATATCGATATCAAAGCGCAGCGCAGGTATCGAATACAGTAACAGTATCGCCACAGTAACAGTACCAGGTACAGTAACAGTACTGGAACTAGTATTTTAGAAAACCGGTAACTGTTACGTTACGTTATATGCTCATAACTATTACCAAATACTTGTTCCTAGTATTTCGTATCATCTCTACTACAATGTGGAGAATACTCCATGAAATGAACTTTGTTTTTTGCAAACGAGGAGAAAAATGGAGGAATCAGAATTTGCGTAAAATAAAAAAAATTCGTTCTCAAGGATACGCCGTCATTTATATGGACGAAACTTGGGTGAATGTTGAACATAGTGTTTCCAAAGAATGGAAGGACCTCTCAGTCATTATCCAGGAATGCGTTTGTTAAGGGTTGTCAGGCTTAAAAAAACCGACACAACGAGGCCCCCGATTTGTTATAGTGCATGCAGGTAGCGAATTGGGCTTTACAGAAGATGCTGCTTTTTGGTTTTTAGCTAAAAAACTCAGCGGACTATCATGATGAGATGGATAATCCTACATTTCAACAATGGTTTAAGGAAAAGCTGCTTCCTAATCTTCCAGAGAAAACTGTTGTGATGGACAACGCTTCGACTATTCGAGGACAGAAGAAGTGATTCCGTCACAAGCCTTCAATAAAGATCGAATTAAGAGGTGGTTGCTGGAGGAAGATATCTTATTATCTTATTATTTAAAATCAGAGCTCACGGAAGTCGTAAACACATACAAAGAAAAATACATAAAATATAAGATCGACGAGATGTGCAAAGAGAAATCAGTATACTTTATTTGGCAATGGCGGAGATATATCCGTCTTTTATTTATTGATTTTGTCTATTATAATAATAAACCGAACAACACCATTGGTCAATATAATAAAGAGACACAAGCTGGAATACTTCAGTCACATTATGAGACACCTTGAAAAATATGATAATTCAGAAAAAGTTCCAAGGTAAACGAGGTCATGGTAGAAGAAGAACATCATGGCCTAAAAATTTAAGTGAATGGTATGAAAAAACGACTACATCGATTATTCAGAGCTGCTGTCAATAAATTGATGATAGCGAATATGATATGATGATATCCAACGATCGATAACGGTCATGGAACGAAAAAGACGAATATAAATATTATTAAACAAAAATATGAGCACTAGGAACGTTTTAAAACGCGTTAAATAAGCATTTACCTAACAATGTGTAGGTGTAACTAACAAAAATTAAAACCAGTTTCGTTAAAGTCGATTTTTATCGTCTCCTGTAAAATTACCTTTTTAGTTTTTTTTGGGGTATTTAATTATTGCACATAAAATCTGTATACAAAGAAAATAAACAAAAACTGCAAGATTATCTAAACATTGTTTGAAAATAACATATTCTTATAAGGGCAATATGGAAATATTTAAAATAAAAAAATATTTAGTATGCTACACCAACATGCTTGTTGCAATCCAAATTAGTTGAAACATAATTATTACCTTGTTTCCTGCAAGACTTTTTTTGCTATCTTCATCTTCACTGGTATAATCTTCACACTCACTATTAGAGTCTACTTGTTTCCTGCAAGACTTTTCTTTGTTATCTTCATCTGCACTAGTATAATCTTCACCCTCACTATTAGAGTCTACTTCTGTATAACTCGGCCTTCTCTTGCTTTTTCTTGGACTATGCTTGATATTCTTGTCCAGGTCACCATCAAAAGAATTTCTCTTTTCTGTTTTTTCTTATTGTTTTTACTAATACTGTCATTTGTCTTCTTTTATAAAATCTTTACTGTCTTCTTCGTCTGACAAATTTACTTGTACCTCAGATTTTTTCACCTCATTTTTGTTGGGTGAAGATATTTTTGATATACTTTTTGTTTGCCCACCCAATCAGTAAGTTAGTTTGTATTTTTTTATCACTGTTAATTAGAAGCAAACTTTGATAAATACTGTAATCTACGGCCTTTTACAGTTCTGTTGCTGTTAACATTATTATTGGGAGTGTCTTCAATATCACTTAAAGATGATGAGTCCAATTTCTGTGAGTGTTCTTTTTTCTTTCTCTTCGCATCTGTGTGGTAGTTGTTAAAACAAATATCAAGTTCATAACCAAGTTTTGGTTTAATTGCGGACCTCTTAACTACTTCATTTTTTGGAACCAAATTTCTGTCATTTAAATATTCATTTATACTTTTCAGCGTTGTTTGTGTTTTACTCTTAACATCTATTCTACAACTTAGTTCACCATCATAACCCATTTCTTCATCTTCTTTGTTAGGATATACACACATATTTTCATTGCCAGTTTCATAACTTGCATTTCTTTTGCATGCAGTGTCTTTATCTGACAAATTGTTTCTGTCCTCAAGACATAAAGAATCATTAGGTGAAACTTTTTCATTAGTATGTGCAGGTTCTAGATTTAATTTTCCTTTTTGTTTTTTTCTAGATACAGGGGAATCAAAACTAGAGTTAAGATTTACTATCGGTTCCATGGTCTCTTTTTGTGGAGGATTAACTCCAAATAATATTGATATTGATTCAATATCTTCATTCAATGGAGATTCCTTAATTTTTTTCCTTTTCACTGGAGTAGATGAGTCACTTAATACATTACTATCCTCACTATTCTTTAAGGCATGAACTCTCTTCTTTGATTTTTCTTTCTGCTCTTTCACATGATCGGCCAAAGTATTAGATGATTCAGACTCAGCATTTGCTAATTCCAAATCTTTTTTTCTTTTCTTTTTGGGAGTACAAGGATTAATTAATATGCTATTACCATCAGTATAATGCGTTTCTATTTCAGATACTCCTAATTCTGTGTCATCAAAGGAGTGCTTCTTCCTCTTTTTTGTAGTACAAGGTTCAGTTGCATTTGGTCGATCTGGACTGATGAATTGTGAATCTTCCTCTGGTATTTCTGCTTTCTTTTTCTTAAATTTAATAGTTCTGTCAAAAAATAAAATAGGAGACTTGCATTCACTATTTGTGTCTAACAGTTCTAAGTTTTCAAGTTCACTTGACTTTTTCTTTTTAGTTTTAATTAAGCCATTTAATGGTTCACATATCTCACTATGTGTAATATTTAATATTTCATTTGGGTTTTTGCTGTATTGAGTCCCTGTGCCTGATATTTTTAAATCAACATGTTTCTGCTTTTTTTTAGATTTAATCAAGTCCTCTGATGTAAGTATTATGGCTATAAGGTAAAATATCTAATATTTTATCTGAATTTTGGTTATCATGATTACCAGTACATGTCAAATTCAAATCAGGATCTTCTATTGATTTATTCCTATTCTTTTTAGATTTATTTGAATCATTAAATTCATCACTAGGATAAGAAGTATCAAATGTTTCACCTGTTTTTTTGCTATATTCAGACTGTATGCCTGTCAATTCTAAATCAGGACACTCTTTGGATTTTTTCTTTTTTTTCTTAGATTTAATTGATTCATTTAATGTGTTATGGTTATCAATAGATGAAATATCTAATACTTTAATTGAATTTGCACTATCATCATAACCAGCAACAGCCAAATCTAAATCAGGTTCGTGTTTTACTTTTCTCTTTTTCTTTTTTGATTTAGAGTCACTTAATTCATTAGTAATAATGTCAGGATAGGAAATATCTAATGTTTCATCAGTCTTCTGGTCATATTCACACTGTGTGTCTGCCAATTCTAAATCAGCAAAGTCTTTGGATTTTTTCTTTGATTTAATCGATTCCTTTAATGTGTTATGGTCATCAATAGGTGAAATATCTAATATTTTAATTGAATTTGCACTATCATCATAACCAGCAACAGCCAAATCTAAATCAGGTTCGTGTTTTACTTTCTTTTTCTTTTTTGATTTAGAGTCACTTAATTCATTATTAATAATGTCAGGATAGGCAAATATCTAACGTTTCATCAGGCTTCTGGTCATATTCACACTGTGTGTCTGCCAATTCTAAATCAGCAAAGTCTTTGGATTTTTTCTTTTTTTTCTTAGATTTAATCGATTCCTTTAATGTGTTATGGTCATCAATAGGTGAAATATCTAATATTTTAATTGAATTTGCACTATCATCATAACCAGCAACAGAAAAATCTAAATCAGGTTTGTGTTTTACTTTTTTCTTTTTTGATTTAGAGTCACTTAATTCTTTATTAATAATGTCAGGATAGGAAATATCTAACATTTCATCAGGCTTCTGGTCATATTCACACTGTGTGTCTGCCATTTCTAAATCAGCAAAGTCTTTGGATTTTTTCTTTTTTTTCTTAGATTTAATCGATTCCTTTAATGTGTTATGATCATCAATAGGTGAAATATCTAATATTTTAATTGAATTTGCACTATCATCATAACCAGCAACAGCCAAATCTAAATCAGGTTTGTGTTTTACTTTTCTCTTTTTCTTTTTTGATTTAGAGTCACTTAATTCATTATTAATAATGTCAGGATAGGAAATATCTAATGTTTCACCAGGCTTCTGGTCATATTCACACTGTGTGTCTGTCAATTCTAAATCAGCAAAGTCTTTGGATTTTTTCTTTTTTTTCTTAGATTTAATTAATTCCTTTAATGTGTTATGGTCATCAATAGATGAAATATCTAATATTTTAATTGAATTTGCACTATCATCATCACCAGCACCAGCGAAATCTAAATCAGGTTGGTGTTTTATTTTTTTCTTTTTCTTTTTTGATTTAGGGCCACTTAATTCATTAGTAATAATGTCAGGATAGGAAATATCTAACATTTCATCAGGCTTCTGGTCATATTCACACTGTGTGTCTGTCATTTCTAAATCAGCAAAGTCTTTGGATTTTTTCTTTTTTTTCTTAGATTTAATTGATTCCTTCAATGTGTTATGGTCATCAATAGATGAAATATCTAATATTTTAATTGAATTTGCACTATCATCATAACCAGCAACAGCCAAATCTAAATCAGGTTTGTGTTTTACTTTTTTCTTTTTCTTTTTTGATTTCGAGTCACTTAATTCATTAGAAATAATGCCAGGATAGGAAATATCTAACGTTTCATCAGGCTTCTGGTCATATTCACACCTTATGTCTATCGATTCTAAATCAGCAAAGTCTTTGGATTTTTTCTTTTTTTTCTTAGATTTAATTGATTCCTTTAATGTGCTATGCTCATCAATAGATGAAATATCTAATATTTTAATTGAATTTGCACTATCATCATAACCAGCAACAGAAAAATCTAAATCAGGTTTGTGTTTTACTTTTTTCTTTTTCTTTTTTGATTTAGGGTCACTTAATTCATTAGTAATAATGTCAGGATAGGAAATATCTAATGTTTCATTGGGTTTTTGACCAAATTCACACTGTTTGTCTGTTATTTCTAAATCGGCACACTCTTTAGATTTTTTCTTTTTTTTCTTAGGTTTACTTGGCTCATCTACTGCGTTAGGATTGTCATTAGATGCAGTATCTAAAATTTTAACTGAATTTGGTCTATCATCATAACCAGCACCCGCCAAATTTAAATCAGTTTCCTGTTTCATTTTTTTCTTTTTCTTTCTAGACTTTTCGGTTTCATTAAATGTACAGATACTGTCAATATTTGAACCATCTACTCTTTCATCAGAATTTGTATTACAGTGACTACCTCTAATTAACAATTCCAAATCAGTACATGCTTTTAATTTTTTCTTTTTCTTTTTAGGTTTAATTGAGTCATTTACTGGACAATTACTGTTAATATTTAAAACATCTACTCCATCTGAATTTTTACCATAACTATCTGTATTTACCGATTCTACATCAGGACATGCTTTTGATTTTTTGTTTGTGTTTTTGGATGCAATTAAGTCACTTAATTCATTGTGTATGTCAATATATGAAACATCTAACTTTTCATCTGAATTTTCTCTAAAAAATCCACTAATATTTGCTAATTCCAAATTGGGACATTCTTTGGATTTATTCTTTTTGAATTTCATTAAATCATTTAATTCATTGTATAAACATCCATTAAACATTAAAACATCCAAATTGTTATTAGAATTTTTTCTAGAATGTTTATTAGTACTTACATTTTCTAAATGAGAATGCTCTGCTAATTTCTTTTGCTTTAAGGTTTTAACTGAATTATTTAATATCTCATTATTGCTACCGCTTGAATTTAGCCAACTAGGTGATACATTTACATGATGAATCCTTTTGGGACTAAAAAACATTTTTTCAAGTTGTGTTTCAACACTCTCTTTTATTGGTGTCTGAATCTTTCGATTACTACTTACTGTTTTAGAAGTTTTATGGACATTGTTATCTTTTTCTTGGTAATTTATTTCTAGATCACTATCAACCAAATCCACCACAGTTGTATGACTACTTTCCCCAAATAAAGTGCGTTGTGGACTGAATGTATTATTTAAATTACCCATAATGTCAAAGTAAAATAAATCACTATCATCTTTTTGAGCTATTAAATCAGTTTCATCAGAATTTGAAGAATTATTAGCTATTTTACTGTTTTTATTTGGTACTTTATTGCTGATTTACTTAAAATATTTGTGGATGGATTTTCATTGAAGCCTTTCCTTTTTTCCTGCCCCTCAGTTTTATGGTTGAAATTTGAATTAATATGTAACATATCTGACCTGTTTCTATTTTTCTTCATTTGCTTTTTAGAATGGTTATATCCAAAGTCTTTTCCATTAGACATTCTATGTGGATTATTATTACTATGTTGTAAATTATTTCTTTCATCAAATAAAAACTGTGAACTACCTCGATTATATGAATTTGATTCAGAGCTTCTTTTAAACTGACTGTTTTTCTTTTTTTTCTTATTCTTCCAATTTGACTGACCACTATATGTTGGATTCGAGGAATACTCTCTGTTCATTGTACAACAATTTTTAGTCACAATTACAAACTTACTTGGATACAAGTTACAATAACAATACAAAACAAGATTTGCTTTGGTTTTTGGTTATGTAAATTTCTAATGATAACAAACACCATGCTGTATCTTCTTCTTGTAGGTTTTTGATCTCTACCTCTTAGGTACTCGGCCAGTTCGAGTATTATTTAAAATAAATAGATTAGGAATATTATAAAATACCTGCGTTTTTTTTTATCAGAGATATATTACAGAGCATAGGATAATACTGCACTTTGGTTGCATTGGCGGTGTGTTGGTTAAATCGTGCAGGATGAAGGACATGATGATAATACAAAAGTTTGATGCATGCGGACATCAAACATCCGAAAACTTTTTCAGGCCATAATAATAAATACCTTCTACAATGTAATACCACAGTATAGACAGTTGTTATTTATACTGTGGTAATACCAATTAAGTATACTGAAACGCTAGCATAACCAGAGGTAAAATAATTACTATTTAACTGGTAATAAGCTTTCGTATTTTGAGAACGATTTCCGAAGTGGAAATTTAAACGTCAATAAACGTACTTTAACCTTTAATTGTGGCTTATTCCCAGTTAAATAGTAATTAATTTAAAATACCACAAGAAAATAGCTTCAGAACAATACTGAGGTAAAATATTCCATAAATAAATTGAGCCTATGTTCGAATTTCCGGGTGGGGACTATTCCGAGGAACACCATTACAGGTTAGAAAAATTAGGATAGGCTCTTGGAAGTCTTATAATTCATCTTGTTTGTCGGAAACTTTCACTAAAAATGGTACACACTTGACTTTTATGAATGTACTGTGTGTCCATAAATACGGTCAGAAGTTTTGGCTGGGAAATTTATGTGTAGTGTGTAGTTAAGAGATATGTAATAGAGAGTGTAGTTCAAATGTTTTAGACGGTGGTTTAGACTGTAACTAAAAGTTGGCCATCTAGTTTAGCTATCCAATCATAGATGTCGCCATAATGTACAAAATTTAGGGTTGAGTTTACCGAAAGCACAGAATAATAAACATACAGAATACCCACTCTCCACGGAAAATTAAGTACGCGCATCTCCTCCGCGCAGACGTTCCGCCATGTTTTAGGAGGATTTTAAAGAAATTATGTGGTGTGCATGGAAAAATTAACCAGGTTTATTTGACTTACGGCAATCATAGACATACTATACAATTATATTAACATTGTTAAATATAATAACATAAATATAATATAATTAAACATAAATATAAACAATTACATAACCACACAAATCATATGTCTGTGTCCTCCTAAAACATGGCGCGCGTGCTGAAAAACTTCAAAGGCGGCATCTGAGAGTGTCCCTTCTGATTGTTTATTATTCTGTGCCGAAAGTACAGGCTGATGATAGCCGCAAATGTCAAACATGGAACAAAAATTTCGGATTAGCAGTGTTGGCTTGTTTTTATAATATAAATGCTCTTTGCTTCAAATATAAAAAGATAAAGCTGTAGAAAAGTACATTTTGTTTATATTATGTTATGAATTCTGCAATTTTTTTGATTTATATAAAACAACAATAAGCAAATATTTGTTTCTTTGGAAATTAATTGCAGTTAATTATTAGAAAATTTTTAGCAATTAACCTTTGGTAGATTAGGGGATAGATTTCGCAATCGTCAAATCAGCAGTTGCCAGATTACAATAGATGTTTGCAATTAATCTCGAAAGAGACAAATATCTACTCGTTACTGTTTCATATAAATTAAAAATTGCAGAATTCATAAAATAGTACAATCAAAATGTACTTTTTAAAAGCTTTATCTCTTTATATTTGAAGCATACAATATATGCATTGTAAAAACATGCCAATGTTCAGCTTGTACTTTCGGTAAACTCAACCGGAACGGACTCAGAATTGTGTTGGCGTTTTTCGCTCAATTTCTTCTTTATATTTTGGGTTCAATGAATGCACCAACAATAGTTGGGAAAAAATGATAATATGTAATTGTTGATTGCCGCTGACTTTCTGCGTAGTTTTGGAGATATCCCTTATTAATAAAGTCATGAATTCCTATTAAAGTTCCAAAGATCAAGAAAATCAATAACAACATTATCTGGTTTTTATTACAACACATAAGTAAATTACTACTACTATTCTTTTTTCTCTTCAATATCTTTTGAATGATGTGGCAATAGATTCTTCTTCAAGGCTGAAATTGGCATCTCGAAAAATAATGTTACCAATAGAGCTACCAGAAAAGAAGCTGCAACATCTGGCAGGACCAAAAGGTCTCTAGAAGGACAGGAGTGTCGCCAGAAGTGATCAATTATGACGCAGATTGTCACTTTAGCCGGCCAATCACAGTGTTATTAACTGAGTTGTCATTGGCCTCCCGGCTGAAGATTCCTGCTAAATTGCAAACACGTAGTGTATAAAAAGGCAGCACATCTTCCGATCGGGATTCAGTCGTCTTACACTACTAGCCCAGCTAGATCTTAGTGGCCGAGTGCCATTTGAAAACTCAACATTTATTACTATTACTCAAGATTGAACCTTTGTGAAGACTTCGATTTGAAGGAGAGTCCTAACGCTTATTACAGTGAATACGAACGAAGTCTTTTTGACTACGAAACATTCACTAGAAGGTGTAGGAGCCGAAGTAGCGACTGTTGATCATTCTTTCATCGAGGTGTAATAGTAAACGTTGTTAATAGTAAACTTCTCACCTCATGAAAGAAACTGTCGACTCGGAGTAAACATTTCCTGTCTGGGCGAGCATCGATCTTTAAGATAGGAAAGATCTTAGATCATGTCGAACTGACACAGTGTTCCGCTGGTCCACTGCCGTTTAGGGATGAATAAAAGTCCCTAATGGACTTAGAATTACTCCCCACTCGGTGGACGAATCGAAGTAGCACTTCGCCGTTAGAAACCTTCTCGACGGAAATAATCAACGTCTTTACAAGACATAAGATTGTTTCCGCGGGAAGTAAGTGCGGGAAATAGCACCAATATCAGAGTCGCCACTCCGACGGTGTTCTTACACACATTGTGGGGCGTGTACTCGACCATACGTCGAAACGTAAATGGCTGGCATCTCTGTAAAATCTAGAGCATACACCGCAATTAGAATACTCATAGTCAATACATGTAAGAAAATATACACCGTTAAGTAAGAAACTATCGAACTGTTAAAGTTTTCTAAATTGTCGGTGGGCTTTTGAGGACAACAGAGCCACTAGTGAACTTTACGTGGAGTGTGGTTCGGATACACATCATTACCACGAGATCAAGGATGGGGTCGAGAAACCTTTGATCCTCCTCTAGAGCGGCGGTCGTAGATCATCCAGATAAGGGGAATACCTCTGTGGATGCTACTTCTGTACGACAAATGTTTGGGTGCATCCTTGATCGCTGGCGGAGCGACTGGACTGGGCAATGATCGTGACTGTACCGTGACAGTACAGTGCTCGTGCTTGGGAATTACCTCATTGGAAAACCACAGAAGCAATCTTGACTGTAACGTGACTGTTAGTCTGAATCAACCTTATAATACGTGGCTGTTGCTTGTCGCTGATTTTTGCTTAATTTTGAATTTCTATTAAAGCTCCCAAAGATCAAAAAACTAATAACAACATTGTCTGGTTTTTATTACAGTACAAAAATAAATTACTACTACTACTACTATTGTTCTTTCTTCTCTTCAATATCTTTTGAAGGTTGCGGCAATAGATACTTCTTCAAGGCTGAGATTGGCATTTCGAAAAATAATGTCACCAATAGAGCTACCAGAAAAGAAGCTGCAACATCTGCTAGTAGATAATAAGCCTACAAAATAAATAATAATAATAAATAATTTAATAATGGGAATTTCTTTGTTATTGGTTTCAAATGCATTATATTTTATTCAGAAAATTTATTATGGTTTTAATTAAAATATAAGGAAATTCTTAAATTTTTATTCACCAATATTCAAAGAACAAACTTTTGGTACTTTCAATTAAGCACGGCTGTAGATGATCATTTGATCACAAAATGCATATCGTTGCCTCAAAGCAACAGTAGGATATGTAAAATAATTTAGTTTCGAGAAAAACGCACTTGAAAATTTTACGAAACTTCAGTAATTAATAACTTTTTTATATTTAAATAGATTTACGTGGAATTTTGTTTGAGTACCTAACTTTACATATAAAACTTTATATATAAATAACAATTTATATTAATTTTTTAAAAATGTGAAAAATAATTGGAAAAAAACAGTTAGTTTGTGATGTCCTCTCGTAGGAGTCACTATCCGGGTAGCTTTTAGACAGTCAGAGACAGAGTTCAAAACAAAAATAAAACTTTATTGTGTTCCTTAAATTAAATTGACAAAAATCTTATGTACATATTTACAATTTGGTTTAGTCTTCTCAGTACCTGGCCTATTTATTCAAATTAAGTTTGACCTTGTCATATGAAATTAGTCTTATCGGCAAGCGAGTGTGTATTTGAAATTTTACGGGAACGTTGTATCGATTTAATAACAGCGGACGATAGGTACAAGAACTCAACACGTCCCTTAAGTGATTCGGGTTAACAGGACACTCCTCGACAGTCTCAACACGACTGCTTCAGAGTACGGGTAGTGAAGAGCTCAACTCGCTTTTCGGGTAACGGCGGTATGGGACGGAACAACTTGTGAACTCAACACGTTCACAAGCCGGGGTAGGGAAGAAGAGAACCTTCAGTCAACACCTGTCGATTCTGTCTCTATGAGGAAATGTTGCGGTTTATATAGAGGAGCTTGGTAATTAGTTTTGCCCTTTCTACTGTCGATACACTCCTACTTCATGGGATGGTTCGCGCGCACGCTGGTTTAACGGTGATGGCTTGGACTCTACTGTTGCCCTCAAAAATAATCTGTTTTTAAAAATATCCGTAAATTTCTGTTACACATAATCACAATTTAGCAATAAGTACAATGAAACAGTAGGATATGTGCGTAAGATAACTTAGTGTTGCATTAATATTGATGACCAAAATGGGCAAACGACATAATATAATGGCGTCGCCTCAAAGCAACAGTATGATATGTAAAATAATGTAGTTTCGAGAAAAACGCATTTGAAAATTTTACGAAACTTCAGTAATTAATAACTTTTTTATATTTGAATGGATTTACGTGGAATTTTGTTTGAGTACCTAACATTACATGTGTCAAATAACAATTTATATTAATTAATAAAAAAAAGTGAAAAATAATTGGAAAAAAAGTTAGTTGTCCTACTGTTGCCCTCAAAAATAATCTGTTTTTTAACGATATCCGTAAATTTCTGTTACACATAATCACAACTCAGCAATGAGTACAATGCAACAGTAGGAAATGTGCGTAATAGCGGCTTCCCACGGTCGGCGATATTGCGGACGTAAGCGGACCAGCACGCACCACGCACCGTGGGAAGGGTCTCGTCCGTGGTAGCACAGGCACGTCCGTGCTGGTGCGTCCTATCTATCTAGAGTCGGTAACATCAAAGGTGCGGTACATGCTCGTGCGACGCGATCCTAGCGCGTCTGTGTTTTAACAGACGACAAGTGCAAATCAGAAGTTTTTCATTCGCTGACACTTAGTTGTCTGTAGTACTGTCAAAGTTGTTTTGCAGTTTTTTGCTAAAAAATGGAATGGACAAACGAAGTTGTTTTTGATTTTTTAAATTTGTATCAAGTTGAACGAAGTTTATGGAATAAACAGTTTATGGAAAAAACGGCGCCAGAACATAAGAACCGGAAGGATGCATACGATGCATGGAACCGAATAAAAAATCAATTGAAGAATATTACTATTTCGATTAAAGAATTAAAAAAGAAAAAAGATAATTTAAATGTCGACATACAGAAGGCAAAAAACAAAAGTTAGAGAATCGATGGGAACTGGTAGTGGGGCTGATGATGTTTACAAGCCTGAGTGGCCTTTTTATGATATAATCAAACACTACTGCCACGGACCTACACAGACTGTCACGGACCGTAGAAAGAGCTCTGTCTGCGGTGCGTTGCCTCCGTGCTGATCGGCTGTCCGTGATGATCTGTAGAATTGCCGATCGTGGGAAGCCACTATAAGATATCTTAGTGTTGCACCAAAATGGGCAAACGACATAATATATAATGGCGTCGCCTCAAAGCAACAGTAGGATATGTAAAATAATGTAGTTTCGAGAAAAACGCACTTGAAAATTTTACGAAACTTCAGTAATTAATAACTTTTTTATATTTGAATAGATTTACGTGAAATTTTGTTTGAGTACCTAACTTTACATGTGTCAAATAACAATTTATATTAATTAATAAAAAAAGTGAAAAATAATTGGAAAAAAAGTTAGTTGTCCTACTGTTGCCCTCAAAAATAATCTGTTTTTTAACGATATCCGTAAATTTCTGTTACACATAATCACAACTCAGCAATAAGTACAATGCAACAGTAGGATATGTGCGTAAGATAACTTAGTGTTGCATTAATATTGATGACCAAAATGGGCAAACGACATAATATAATGGTATGATATGTATGTTGTCTTAGTGTAGCATTATAAAATTTGGGCCAAAAGGAATTAAGCTACACAAGGATATGTAATATTATGAAAAAAGTATATCACTTTTTATTTATCCCAGTGTTACACTCAACAGAAGGGTTTATTTCGAATCATTTGACATGAATATCACAAAAGTCATTTTTTTTTACATATCCTACTGTTGCTTTGAGGCGACGATATATTCTTTATGAATATATAATTTTTTATATGTCCCCACAACACATGGTTTTTGGTTTTACCTTATTTATAACTAAACCGTATTTTATTATGCACATATAGAATAGCTGAAAGTGGCTATTTGACTATTATTCTATTGTCGGTATCATCATCATCAATCAGCCAATCGCGTCCACTGCGGGACATAGGCCTCCCTCAGTTCTTTCCAGTGTTCTCTACACTGGGCCGCTTGTAGCCAGTTTCCCGCTACACGTTTTATATCATCGGTTCATGTAGTCGGTGCTCGTCCTCGGCTTCTTTTATAGTTTCTGGGCCTCCATTCCATAATACGTCTTGTCGACCGTCCATCTTGTGCTCTGGCTAAGTGCCCTGCCCAGTTCCACTTAGGCGACGTGGTTCTTTCGATGACGTCTTGAACTCCTGATCTTTGCTTGATTTGTTGGTTTGTTATGTGGTCTCGAAGGCTCACGTTCACAATTGCACGTTCCATGGCTCGTTGCGTAACTCTGAGTTTATTCGCAGATTTTTGCGTGAATGTTAAAGTCTCCGCTCCATAAGTTTGTACAGGTAAAACACATTGGTCATAAACCTTTCGCTTGAGACACATGGGAATTGAACTTTTTAGAATATGGCTTAATTTGCCAAATGCTGCCCAAGTTAGGCCTATTTGCCTCTGTATTCATGTGTTTGATTGTCTCTGCTTACTTTGATTTCGTGTCCCAGGTATTTTTAAGTGTATGTTTGTTGTATGTTATTATTGTCAATAGTTATATTTCCACTCATTACGAGATTTGTCATAAGTTTAGTTTTCTCAAAGTTTATCTTTAATCCTGCTCTTTCAGACAGACTTTTAAGCGAATGCATCATAGAAACTGTATCTTGTAAATTATCTGCGATTAATACAACATCATCTGCAAATCTTAGGTGGTTTAATCTTTCTCCGTCTATATTGATGCCTATATCTTGCCATTGAGTGCTCTTAAATATTGACTCTAGAGCTGCCGTGAACAATTTTGGTGAAATATTGTCTCCTTGTCTAACTCCTCGACCTAAGATGAATTTTTCTGTGTCTTCGTGTAGTCTTATACTTGATGTAGCGTTCTCGTAGATGTTTTTGATTAGTGTCGTGTACCTGTAATCTATTCGGCTTTGATTTAGGGCTTTCAGTATTGTTTCAAACTCTACAGAATCAAAAGCCTTCTCGTAATCGACAAATGCAAGAACCAGTGGTATGTTGTACTCGATGCACTTTTCTATTAAGATCTTTATGGTATGCAAATGGTCATTTGTGCCATATCCTGCCCTGAAGCCTGCCTGTTCTTTGGGCTGATAGAAATCAAGTTTAGGTGTTAGCCTCTTTGTTAAGATTTTTATAAAGAGTTTGTACATATGTGTCAAGAGGCTGATGGGTCTATAATTTTCTAATTTAGTAATATCGCCTTTTTTGTGTAACAAGACTATTACTGCATTGTTCCAGTCTTTTGGAATCGTACGAGCATGTAAGCATTTATTAAACAGTTTGCTTACTGATTTTAATAAAATTTCTCCTCCTGCTTTTATTGCCTTAATAACGACTCCATCATCACCAGGCGATCGATGGTTCTTCATTTCTTTTAAAGCTGCTCTTACTTCTGACACAGAAATGGGTAAAAGTATTTCCGATCCCTGATTTATGAGAGTCTTTACTCGTGTCGGGAAATTGTCTTGTGGTCTTTGGCTGGTATAGAGGTCTTTATAAAACTCTCTGGTTATTTTCAGAATGTTTTGTTTATCTGTTGTTGCCTTTCCGTCTTTATCTCTCAGCTCGTATATTTCTTTTTTACTTTGTGTGAGTTTTCTTTTCATTATCTTTAAACCTTTGTTCTCTTCTACTGTTTGAGTAATTACATTAGTATTATATCTTCTTACATCTTTTCTAATTTCCGCTGAAATTCTTTTATTTAGTTTTTTATATTCTTCTTTGTTTCCCTTTTCGTTCTCGCTTAGGTTTCGTCGTATTTCCATGAGAGCTTTTGTATGTTTGCTAATCTTTTCACTTTTGGTGTCATTTTTTTTTGCAAAATTTGAGTTGTGCATTTCTAACCGAGTCTGATATTAATTTATTGTGATCGTCGATACTTAGAGGTTTGGGATTATTACTCTGTAAAGTTTCGGCTATATTTTTTATGTATGCTTCTGGATGATTTGGTGAATTCCAAACTATGCGTTTGCAACTGTTTATCATCTTTGTTCTTTCTTTTTGTAGATTTATCGTTACTCTAGCTCTTACTGGTCTGTGGTCGCTTCCTACTGATAGTTTATTGAGTACAGTGACATCTTGAATAATTTGCTTTTTGTCTGTTATTATATAATCATATTCGCTCTTAGTTATTCCGTCTGGACTAGCCCACGTCCATTTTCTATTCTGTTTCTTCTTAAAAAAGGTGTTCATTGCATACAGTTTGTGTTGCAGTAGAAAGTTGGTAAGCATTTCGCCTCTTTCGTTTCTTACTCCGATTTCAAAATCTCCGATTGCCACTTCTTGTTCGTCCTTTTTCCTTCCGAGCTTCCCGTTAAAATCTCCCATTATCAGATTGTAATGAGCAGGTTGCTGCATTTTTGCTCTTTCGATTTCCTCATAGAAGGCTTCGACAATTTCATCTTCGTAATCGCTGGTGGGGGCGTATATCTGGATTATTTTCAGATTGTATCTCTTATTTAGTCTTAGATTTATATACATAACTCTTGGGGAAATGCAGTCAATGCTCTGTATATTTTTCTGTAATTTTTTGTGTACTAATAAACCTATTCCTCCAGTTGTCGATTCCGTTTCCCCTTTGTAGTGGAATATGTTTCCTGATTTTAGTTTGACCTGATCTTCACCTCTTCTTTTGACTGCGCTAATTCCTATAATCTCCCATTTCACATGTTTGAGTTCTTCCTCCAGTTCTGTCATTTTTTCATCCTTAGATAAGGTTCTTACATTATACGTAATTATGTGCAACGTTCGTTGTTCTTGGTAGCCTCTTACATGGTAATGCAAGTATGGTAAGTACGTATTTCAGTGGAAATATCTAAAAGTCTTATTTCTTATTTAAACAGCAACGCAGCGAATGAGAACAATAAGAAATGGCCGAAGAACGAGAGTAGATAATCACACCTACATCTCCTCAAGAAATAAACGAGCTAATTAAAAATAGCTCACCGAGAAAATCGCCTGGTCTAGATGAAATTTTAAATAGAGCTCTGAAGTATCTACCGGCAAAAGCAATAGTATTTTTAATCAACTAAACGAACTCAATTCTTCCTAAATCGATGGAAGGAAGCCCACTTTATCATAGTTTCAAAGCCAGGAAAGCATACCATGTTTCTGCAAAACTGCAGACCGATAAGCTTACTGCCAGCAGTCTGACAGAATACATAACAGTTAAATTAGCGACAAACAGTATACAGGAGCAGCGTTCCTGGATGTAAGAAAAGCCTTCGACTTGAATTATATGTATAATAAAACTTGGGATCAAAAGCAATTTCTTGGGACTCATCTCTAGTACGACTCATAGTGCAGTAAAGCCGATGACCATAAGACAACAGCCAACCATAACTAAGCTATATATATATGCTTCTAGGTATATATAACTACAATCCTTGTATCGGCATGTAAAGACAATTTATATTTTAAAAAATTGTGACCTTTAAAACTATGCATACATTATATATACAATATTAGCATAATTTGTAATTAACGTGATTATATTATGCAAAACCGGTCGTCCAAGATAAAATAAATTGATTGTCCATTTAATATTTATTTCTTTTTACTTGATTAAAATAGACTCACATGTGCATTCATCATTATCATCATCATAAAAAAAGTTCACTTACTAGTTTATACTTACAATTTGTATTTCGGAAACATATATAGGAGTTCTCGCTGTGGCTTGTCTGGACATAATTATTGTAGAATGTACCAGGTATACACTATAAGACAATCTTCCCAGAATATACACCGGGGGCCATTTTAATACATGTTCGGTAATTCCTAAAAATGAAATTGTTTTTAAATCGTTATTTGGTAAGAAATAAATAAAGGTATCTTATAGTCTCAGGTATTGTCCCAGGTATTTACTAAATACCTAGGACATGAGCCTAGGTCTAAATACCTAGGACATGAAATTATGATTGGCAGAGTTAACTAGACTCATGAACTGAAGAGAAGAGTCGGCCTTGGGTGGGCAGCATTTGAAAAACTGAGAGAAACTTTTAAAAGCGAGCTGCCCACATGCCTAAAGAGAAAGGTATTTGATCAGTGCGTCCTCCCAGTCTTGACGTACGGAGCAGAAACACTTACCTTAACAAAAGCAGCAGCTACCAAAACTGAGAGTCACGCAGAGAAGAATGGAGCGGTTCCATGTTAGGAATAACTCTGCGAGACAGAATAACCAACGAAGACATCAGGAGAAGAACCGGTTTGACTGACATTATCGAGAAGATAGCCAGACTAAAATGGAGATGGGCAGGACATATAGCCAGAATGACAGATGGGCGATGGACAAAAAGGTTACTGGAATGGAGGCCAAGGGAAGACAAGAGAAGCGTCGGTCGACCACTACAAGATGGACTGACGATTTAAGAAGAATCAATAAAAATTGGATAAGAGCGGCCAAGATAGACGGGGTTGGAAACATGAGGAAGAGGCCTATGTTCAGCAGTGGACTCTTGAGGCTGGATGATGATGATCATGATGATCCTATAGTCGGTTACAGTCTTACAGTCGCTTATATATTATATAAGCGAGGTTCCTACAGTCTATGTCGCTTCTCGCATTTCGACCGCCATCCGTTTCTGTCCACCCATTCGTCTTCTTTGATGGCGTCTTCTTTACATTTTCTTCCTAGGCAACTGAAGGCCTTCTCATTCTTCTTTGTTGTGGTATGGAATTTAAAACTTTCTTTGGCCATCTATCTTCATTACTTCGCTTCACGTGACCATACCACACTAGTGGTCTTGTTTCAATTCTGTCTACACTGAAATATACAGTATTCGTCCTCCTTCTAATATCTTTATTCCTGATATGATCTTTTTTGGATACACCACATGCTCTCCTTAGAAAATCCATTTTTACTACTTCTATTCTTTTTCTATCTTTTTTCGTGATCGAAATATACGCTCTACCAAGGTTCGATATATTGTCAATTTCGCTTCTTGTCTAATATCTGTAGACCATAGTAAGGATTTTAGAATGTTTACCGCTTTTTTCCCTGCTGCTTTCTGTTTTCGATGTCTCTTTTGGTACTGCCTTCTTTAGATATTATAGATCCGAGATATTTATATGCATTACATATTTTTGTGTTTCTAATTTCTAACTCTGGATCTTCTTCATCATCCCCTATTTTAAGATAATTTGTCTTTGACATATTCATATTAAGACCAACTGAGGTCTGTGTCGTTTCAACTGACATGTACCACGTGTTAATAATCGAGCAGGGAGACATGTAATGTAGTGTAGACAAATTTCTTGCTGATATATTAAATGATGCCTTTGAATATCGCAACAATTATAATTCTAAGGACACATTTACTTTTGTCAATGCTGTTAGGGGAATGCAGTTACCAAAAGATTATATTTTGATTTCTTTGGATGTGGTTTCTTTATTTACAAACATTACACTAACTATGGTCACGAACATTATAGAATCAAATTGGAACCTTATAAAAGACTACACGACATTATCTAAAGGTAATTTTCTACTAATTCTTAGGTTCATTTTTAATAACACTTATTTCAGTTTCAATGGAAAATTTTACTCCCAAATTTTTGGAACACCTATGGGTTTCCCGATTAGTCCCATGCTTGCTACTATTGTAACTGATCATCTCTTAGACAATGTGATCACGCAATTGCCTTTCGAATTACCATTTATATATAAATATGTCGATGATATCATATGTGCAGTTCCATCTTATCACATCAATACCACATTAAACATCTTTAATTCATTTAACAAACATCTTCAGTTCACAATTGAAACAGAGACAGATCTTAGTATACCATTTTTAGACACAAAGGTAATAAGAACAAATGACAATATTTTGACATTGGATTGGTACCAAAAGCCAACTGCATCGGGCAGGTATATGAATTACTTTTCAAACCACACCACTCGTTAAAAATATAATACAATATTGGGTATGAAAAATAGGGTAATGTCCATTGTTGATGATAATTTATTACAGAAAAATCTGGACATATTATACAAAATTTTTCGAAACAACGGCTATCCTAAACATATTTTAAAAAAACTCATTTACAGCAGTAATTTCTATGATGGTCCTGTCCTTGATTCCAACAATGAGTCAATCAAATATAAAAAACTCCCCTTTATCAATGGTCTAACTCATTCAGTCATATCCATATTTAAAGATGTTTCCAATATTAATATAGCTAAATACAATACCATAAATAACAAACAACTTTTTTCCAAAATTAAAGATCCAGTACCAACCTTATATAGGAGTAATGTGGTATATGAAATACCGTGTCTAGGATGTGAAAAAAGCTATATTGGCCATACATCGCAGTGGCTAAAACAACGTATCACACAGCACAAAAGTGATTGCCGCTTGGGAAAAAATAGTTGTGCAGTAGTCGAGCATTATAAAAACACCGGTCATCTGTTGGACTATAACAACGCTCGTATTCTGGCACAGACTGACAATTACAAAAGTAGGTTATTTTTGGAGATTTACCACATCAACAAAAATAAACAAACTTTAAATTATAAAACAGACACGGGGCAATTAAGCAACATATATTGCAATATATTGAACAAAATTTAAAACTCACTCACCTTAATGATTAATCATACTAACTAGCCTTAATGATTAATTAAAGAAATAATATTCCTCTAATGTTTTCTTACATTGTTAGTTTTTGCATTTTAAATAACTTTTAGTTGTTTCCATCTCATTTACTTACTATTAACGAACGTGCTCATATATATTTACATTTTAATAATCTTATACATTATCAAAAAATGTTTATTTTAATATCAAATTTATTTATGTGTGAAATCTTTGAAGTTTCTGTAAGTATTGTAAATCTAAGTGTACGTCAGTTTTTTGAAATGTTTGTTTTTTACAATTACTCCTGATGAAGCTTTTAAATAAAGAGCGAAATATTGAGTTTTAGAAAAAAACAAAGATTTTTATTTAATATAGACCACATACCGATATTTCAACATACTGATATATATTATATATATATATTTATATATATATTATATATATATTATATAATATATATATATATATATATATAATATATATATATATATATATATATATATATATATATATATATTATATATATATATATATATAATCATAAAAAAGGTGTGGAAATTACAGTGGAAATGGGCAGTCATGTGGCAAAAATAAGTCGAAAACTACCGAAATAAAAACGAATAAGAGAAAGACTATGTACACGGCGTCAGGATGATCTTCTTCTTCTTCTTAAAGTGCCTATCCGTTCCGGATATTGGCGATCATCACACCTATCTTTACTTTGTTTACTGCAGCGCGGAACAATTCAGTGGTAGTCGTGTTATACCACTTTCGTAAATTTTGAAGCCAGGAAATGCGTCTTCTTTCCGGTCCTCTCTTACCATTTACCTTCCCTTAGAGAATCAGCTGGAGAAGTCCGTAACGTTCTTGATTTCTCATTACATGTTCTCGATATTCCAACTTTTTAGTTTTGACGGTCATGAGAATTTCACATTCTTTCCCCATTCTATGCATTACCTCCACATTAGTAATTTTGTCAACCCAGGGTATACGTAAGATGCGCCTATAACACCACATTTCGAAAGCTTCGAGCTGATTCATAGATGCAACAGTCAGTGTCTACGCTTCCATTCCATAGATGATCTAAGGGATGATCTAAGAATGATAATTAGAAGTTGTTTATAAAAAACACAAGCCCGAGAACTTGAGCACTCGATTAAAAGAGGGGAGGCCTATGTCAAGCAATAGGTAAAGGGTCTCATGATGATGATGCCAAGGAAGCTTTAATCGGGCTACTTTTCATCCCATATAATATAGTTTAATTTATGTTTTTGTTATACCCTATATATTAATAACAAATATACAATTATTTATCGAAATAAGCACTAAGTCTTTATAAACATTCTGGATTTATAACCTGTATATGACAACAAATGTACATAGTCGATTTTCACTTACCACCAATACCGTGCAAGCATCCATATATTCCAAATCCTATTGATAAAATAAATATAGGTCTGCCAATCACGGCGATGAAAGAAGCCATAAATGGATCATATTCAGGTTTGAGTACTAACACGTACCAACCAGGAATTATTATAATACCTAGCGACGGAACATAAGAGAATATATAGTATAATATTTTCCACATTGTTCTCTAAAATGAAAAAATCAGTTTTATAATTAGTTTCCAAGTATATAGAATTGTATTCAGATCTTATAATTAGTATAATTATACAATAAAAGGTAGTCACAAAAATATAGTCGGTAGGTGACTATAAATGTGGGCATATAATTTTAGGATTTTTAAAATTTTCGTTAGTCAAGGTTGTATTTTCGTGTTCGCTAAGAAAAATATGACTCGGAAAATTGCATATGTTTGTTGTTGATCTACTTGTATAAAACCAAACTGATTATCGGATATTTCGATTTCTTCACGTATCCATGTATCAATTACTCTCTGCCATATTTGCGTGGAATGCCTAAGCAGTTTTATGTCCCTGTAGTTTGTGCATTGTTATGCATCTGCATTGTTTTTGTAAACAGCTACTAATACACTGCTTCTATATTTTTCTGGCATTTGTTTCACATCTATAATTCTATTAAATAAACCTGTCAACCAACTTGTTTTTCGCTCCTAAAGCTGACCACAGTCTCCTAGGAGTTTCACCTGGTCCAACTGTTTTACCTTTCTTTAATTTTTGAAAAGCTTTTCTCACTTTTTTATCTCTGTTTGACACTTTTTCCTGAAATAGTATTTTATTATTTTCATCTCCAATTGTATGCTTTCTGTGCTCTATGTTTGGCTATTTTATACATCTTCGTGTCACCTTTCCTGGTATTAAGTTGCTACTCTACTTTCTCCTGCTACTTTCGCTTTCTTTTTGGCGGCCGTATAGTTTTGAGTATCTGCGTCCAACCTATTTTCTGGCCTTTTTTTATATAATTTATCTTTTCTCTTTTAGGTTTTCTTGAACTTCCTTTAACCACAAGCAAGTCTTTTTATTCTCAAACTTTTTTCATGAGGTTTTTCCAAGTATTCGAATAGCAGTATCTCTGAGAGTACCGGCATGTTATTCCAAATATGAGGATTTCCATTCGTGTTCAAATACATTTTTTTACTATTTTGTTTCTGAATGGACCTTCTTTGTCATCTTTCAACATTCACTATCTGCTTTCTTTGTAGTCCTCTCCGTCATTTTGGTTAATTTTCGATTTTTTACTTTGACGTCTAGCGCAAGTAACTTTTGTTGTTGGCTTACTGTCTTTAAGCGCATCTATCATTTCCATATTCTCATCTGTACGACTTCCAAAATTTCAAGACCCTACCCTAATTATTTTCACCTGTAATAGTGTTCTCCCTGAAATAACCCTCACCCTTTTGCGTCCGAAACATTTCACCTCAGTAGATGCCATCATTGAAGTATACTTCTTGTTAAATAGGACAAGGCTTTTCATTGTTATGGCTTGAAAATATTTTTGGACATTTGATGCCCAAATTTCTTTTCCATCAGCATTATGTCATTCATTTCAATAATCTCATGTTTCTATCGTTTTCGATGGTTTGCAATATTTGTTTAGTTTGATAGGCTCGCAAGTCTGACCTTATGCTCTTTTTACTTTATTGTTGATAGCCTTATACTCCGCTGATTTTTTTGATGTTCTTCTTCTTTCTTCCATTAAATCCAGTGTTGTTTTAATTTAGGTTTTCTCGGATTTTTATTTTTACCACAGATCTTTTTTGTAGTTGATGGTATGTCATTCGTTAATTTTTGTGTTATTTCATTTATATATTTCGTGTTAAATACTGGTAGAGATCCTAGTCTCTTTTTTAGTTTACTTTGATATTCCTCTTGATTCATTTCAAGTGCTTCTATGTTTGGTAATTTACCCTGTAATCCAAACTGAGCTAAACTTCAATTTTTTAGAATATCGTGTTTTGAAAATATAAGCTTGGAAAAATTAATTATCAGTACATAAGTATTCAGAAATAATATACCTTTTCTTTGAACATCTCGACATTTTTTGTTTTATGTATGATATAACCATAGATAATACCAAGAAGGGGACCACATGTGTTTCCAGAGATCGACATAAACTGTTTATGCCAATGTGGATTTCCTCTTAGGTTTTTCATGTTATATACAATTCTAGAAATAAAATAAAAGCATTAGAACAATAATTAAATTATATTATACAGGGTTAGATATAGTATTGAATCAAGTAAATATCTTTGAAAAATAAAGATGATATTCCTGAAACTTTGTATGCAAATACAGTAACGTGTAACAAGTATATCTGATGCCAGAAATTTCACGGATTGCTATTTTTATAGGCAAAGATGGAGCAGTCTGGAAAAAAACACTGCCCGGTGCAAACGATAAGAACTCGCCAATTTAATAAAGTTTTTCACTTACCTGGTGTTAAAACACATGGCAAGAATGCCAAACCCATAATTGATTGTTGAAATTTGTTTTTTTCAAAAAATTGTATAAAGATGTTTTATACATTATTGTTGAAAGTACGAACAAATATATAGATCAAATGAAAGAAATGTATAACAAAGCCTGTTCTGCTAAAACTAATGATGTAATCGAAATAAGAGCTTTACTAGGATTGCTCTATATAGCTGGGTGTTTGAAAATTAATCGGTTAAGTACAGATGAGTTGTGGGAGCGAAATGCCAGCGAGGTTGAAATATTTTGGTTAACAATGTCACAGCAACGTTTTTTTTATTTTTGTTAAGGCTTCTTAGATCTGATGATTTAGAAACTCGAGATGAAAAAACATTGTCTGATAAACTAGCGCATATAAGACAAACTGTTTACAAGTTTTGTAAAAAATTGCAAAAATACCTACACAATTAGCGAGTATGGCACTATAGATGAAAAACTTGAGGCATTTCGGGAAAGATCCAATTTTAAAAAGTATATTCCTTCCAAACCAGAGGGACCCTTTCATTTAAATAACGATCCAGTTAGTATTGTCGAGAGATTAATTGGTCCAATATCAAGTACTGGAAGAAACCTTACGTGTGATAATTGGTTTAATTTAATTGGTTAGTAGCTTTGCGCTTATTACAAAACTTCATGGTGATCCCAAAACTGATATACGTCGGTACAGTGAGAAAAACAAAAGACAATTACCGTTGGAGTTTATAAACACAAAAACATCGACCTGTTTATTCAAGTCCGTTTGGATTACAAGAAAATACTACAATAATATCCTATGTACCCAAGAAGGGAAAAAAATGTCATACTGGCCTCAAGTATGCACAATAATAATCAAATAGAGGAATCAACAGATGATCAACAGAAGCCAGAGATTATACGTTGTATAACTTAACTAAAGTTGGGGTCGACACCGTTGACGAACTTTGTGCCACGTATAATGTATATCGAAATTTCCGGATATGGTCAATGGTGATTTTTTATTCACTTATGAATGTGAATGGAATAAGCTTCCAAATTATATATCTGGCCAATAATCAAAATAACAATTTGCTACGTAAAATATACATAAAATGTTTGACTGCAGAGCTAATCTACCAGCATCTAAAGCGTCGCTCCATGGTGGAAAATATCTCTTCAGCTATTCGCAACTGACGCCAAGTGGTTGGAACTTCAAGTGAACTTCCAAGAGGTAATCCCGAAAATTTAAATATTAAAAAACGATGTGGTTTTTGCGTTAAAGATAGTAAGACTCGTAATTTTGTCATATAACTTACAATAGATCATTGATTTTGAGGTATCAAACATGTAGGCAATATCAGTGCAAGATTATCGACTATTTTACAATTAAGATAGTAATAATAAACAAAATAAAACCTAACTTCAACGTGTATCGAAGAAAAATGAAGTGGTATAGTAGGTGGCACTGTAGACTAGCTCGAAGCTTCATATATTATTTTTTCTCTATTTTTAAAATTTACATAATACTTTTAAAATTGAATGAAGTAATTTTATTACTTATTTATTATTATTTTTTTAATCATTTGTGTAAATTGTATCAAGATTTTGTATTGGTTTGAAGAGAGAACTGGTGAACATATCTAATATAAACAATCTATCATTGTTATGATGATACGCTAATTAAAAAATTAAAAGAAATTTAGATATAAGGAAGAAGGATACTTACTCTG